TCTTGATCAGCATCAATAGCCGAGTCGATCTAGCCATGTCTGTCTGTCTGTCCGTCCGTCTGTCTGTCCGTCCGTCCGTCCGTATGTATGAACGCAAGGATCACAGAACCTATAAGAGCTAGAGACTAATCGGTAACTTACTCCGTTTCCAAGCAATCGATAAAAATCGATATCGATATCCTGTTTTTTGGGAAATTTTGGTAAATAAAAGTAGAATATATATATGCATTTAATGTTAAAAGAAGAGGGTTCAGGGTATCCCCTAGTTGGGAGTTCCTGACTAGAACCTCTTACTTGTTTTTTTTTTCAATTGGCAACCACATTTTCTATTAGTGTAAATATGCAAAGTACATGAAGACATGAGGCTCCACTTCCGTTATGAGCGTAAGCGAGAAATAACCATAAAAATGTTGAATGCTGAATGTAAAATGCAAAGTCTAACTTTGTTGTGCCCTCCCCCCTGGATAATGGAGGGATGGAGGGGCAGGTGCAGGCGAAAATGGGGCCAGAAAGGGAAAGGGAAATTTCTGCTGTTTTTGGCATTTTAAATAACATTTGCGGGTCATATTTAAAATCTCTTTATATCGCGCCTCTCTTATTTTTCATTTACACTTCATTTGACGAGCGCTCAAATTTAAAGCGAATGCCATTTAATGCAAATGAAAATGAAAATTGAAATGAAAAAGAAAATGCCATTTGGGAGCAAACAAGAAAAATTAGCAGCGCAATTTGCAAGCCAGAAAATTCCTGGTCACGGCCAAACGAATAAGCGAACATTTTTCAATCATTTATTATCTGCAGCAAAATTTTAAATTCCGCAAAAAAAAAGAAGAAAATTTAGCTTTTAAATTTCCAAATTGTAAAACACAAACAAAACTTAATATATAAAATGCCTTTGACAATTTCAACATATTAATTTACAAATTTTAATCAAACACTAGCAATGGGCTTTAGTTTTTATTGAGGTGTCTAAAATGAAATACGCTGACACTCTTATTGTTGATCGATTATTTATTGATAATATTGATTGATATATTTCAGTGCTTAGCCAGGCAAAAGCTTGCTATTAAAAGAGCATGTTATATAATTTAAATATAAGTTAAAAAAACTTGATATTTGTCTGTCAGCCGTAAAAGTAACTATCTATGCCGTGTTCCAGACTTTTATGGACATATATGAGCATGTGTTACAGGATATTACAACTAATGTAAATATATAATTGTATATATACATGAAGTAAATGGGATCGCAAAAGTCTAATGGGTTAGTCTAATAGATATATAGTCAAATAGATAGTCTATTCTATATGTTTCAGGGATAGCTTGAAAAGATGCTTATGGACTTATATGGGTATAAAGCACAGGATATTTGAATTACTTTAAAAATAATTATATATATATATATATGAGGTCGCAAAAGCTTGACAATATTCAAAAGACCCTGCGGAAGTGTATAATAATACAGCACGCGCTGGGAATTTTTGTAAATGTTTTTCCAAATTCTTCTAATTATTAACAGAAATAGTTTTGTGCATAAGTTGCAAATTTAAATGTTTTATAAAAATGTTTAAATTTTACAAAGTAAGCTGCGTTAAATGTTAAGTTCCATTGAAAACGAACCTTTTGGACAGATTTTCAACAATTTGTAACAGAGACTCCTGCAATGGGTCGGCAGTAGAAAAGCGGCGCAGCTTTCTATACCCTATTTTCCTTGGTCGTTTCTTTGATTTCAATTTGCGGGCTTATTCAAATGAACAGCGCCCCACGCTGCTTATCAAAGACAAATATGAAATATTAATAATGCGCCGCAGTCGGGGGCTTTTGGGGGCATTGCTGCAGCTGGCACATTAAATATGTTGGCGTGCGCGTTGGCGAATTCGTGGGGCACAGCTCAAAAAAAAAAATGCAAATTTCACCGGCGAGCGAACAGACTCGGGTATCACTTTAATGCCTTTCACTTTGATTTGGAGGCGGACGCGCGATCCACGGCAAAGTGCAACACGTGCCCCATAAATCAACTGCGGGCCGTGCGTGTGTGCCTGGGCTTCACTGTAAGCCATTTGCAAAAATCAAATCAAAAATAGTTTGAAAAGTTCCAAGTGCTTAACTCTTGGCCAAGGCGCAGAGAATGCGCTCCCCAGTCGAGGCGACAAACAATGCAACAAATTGCAGTCAGTGCCACACACACGCACACACACACACACACACACAACTCGACTCGACTCGACCCAAAGGAGCAACTTTGTAATTGTCTAGCGGCGACACGTGGGCGCCGCCGCGGCCACTCTGGCTATCACCTTCTCGCATAGAATAAAGTGCCTGCCATGTTGCCCCTAATAGGCAGACATAATCATCATCATCATCATCATCATGAACATTGTCATTATCATCAACGTCCTCAAGAAATGGTTCACCTTTCGCCAGCGTCGAGTGTTGGCATTGTCTTTCCCGGCTGCATAGCTGAAATAACAGCGCATTCGATATGCCATAGCCGGGCATTGCCGCACAACACTGTGCAACACAACACGGGCACTTGGCCAAAACTAACATTAGCTGTAGTACAATTTGTATAGCTCGCATAATCGACTGCTCAATGCTTTGCTTGGACTGTAGAGACTGTATTAGAGACTCGCAGCACATCAAAAATCTGATACCTTGTTAAAAACATAATTTTTTAATGCCCTTTGTACATACAAATACGAAACCAGGCCAAAAGCTGTTCACCTTACGCAATGGCTGTGCTTCTTCTTAGCTTTTCCCTACACTATGTACGGGAAATGTATCTGCTGATTGTTTGCTTTAGAAACATGATAGAAAGATAGATTAATCGAATGCCCCTATCTGATGACGGTATAGAAGTGTATATATTCCAAGATCATATCATGTCTAACAAGCCTGTCTGCACAGTGCACACTATCATACAAAACTATGCTGTGTAGAAAGAGATTCAATTATTTGTTGGATAGTGTAACACTGGATTATTCTCATGCGCCGGCTCAATACGCGGCTCAAGTTCTTTGCAATGTTTGACGCTGGCGCAGTCAAAATTTAATTGAATGAACGCTTTTTGTGTCGTCTGTTAATTTGCTTTGAATGAAGTTGAGCATTTGCCACGCCCCCTCTTACACAAGCACACGCACACACGTGACCGTCGCCTGCATATTTGTGAGTATATATATATAGTTTGGAGTTATCGCAGTCGGTTTGCCATTTGCGGGTGCAAATGTCAAGTTGACTTTGCCTGCACCTCGCCAGTTGTATGTGTGTGTGTGTGTGTTTGCCGCGGAGCTACGTGCCTGGCGAGTGTGTGCGTGTGTGTGAGAGGGGTGAGGGGTGAGAGAGGGGTGGGGGCGCTCTGGCTGTGGATTTGCCCTGGCCCTGTGCCTGATTATAGTGTTAACCCTCTGAACTTGCAGCAGGTGCGCCAATGTCAACGTCGACTTTCATTCAAATGTCGCCATTTCAATTGCCCGACTGCATCTCTGTGTGTGTGTGTGTGTGTGTGTGTGTGTGTGTGTGTGTGTGTGTGTGTGTGTGCGTGTATAAGTATGTGTGGCTGTTGCAATTGTTTGCTTAACTATTTCATAGTTGTTAGAAATTTGTTTAATGTATGAAGTGGCGGTTACTTGGCGTATACGTAATGTCTGCCACACTCTAATGCAGCGAAAGAGAGAGAGAGGGAGGGAGAGAGAGCATGCTGATGAGCAATTAACAAACAATTGCAACGTTTTTAGTCAAAAATAAACAGTGCGGCAAATGTGGACAGACGATAGACGAGCACGAAAACGAACAGGGCCAAAGAATGACACTCAGTGAAAGGAAGGCCCTGGGAAAGGGAAAGTAAAAGTACCTCAGCTAAGCGAAACATAATGAAAGGTACACACGAAAAACTGTAAGACAAGCAGGCAAAAATTGAGTTACACAGCGGCAAAAATGGCGAGACTTTTTGTACTTGTTTCTAGGCCTAAAAAACATCGTAAGGTTTTCAGCCCGATTCGAGCTAAAAATTCTTGGTCTAAAAGGTCTTAGAATCTTGAATCAATTACAAAAAAGTTATTTTAAGTAGTTCAAGCACCAAAAATATCAAGAAGAATAAAAGCTGATAATATAAAAACTCTTGAATTTAGTTGCAAAGCAAAACAAATTGAGGGAATTACCAAGCGTTCGCCCAAACTAGGATTGTATTGAAGACATATTGGACTCATTTTAAGATTATATTGGTCTTATTTCAGGATAATTTAAGCATTGGTGGCTTAAATTGAGGTTGTTTTAGTCTTATTTTGAGAGTTATTAAAAAACTTGCTACAATACTATTTCGTTGTTAAGGTTGAAAAGCGTAACAAACACAGCTTGATTCAAGTTTTTTCTTACTTAAGTCGTACTTGAAATAAGAATTTCAAACTGTGATCAGGGTTTACAAATCAGTTCTTCTTGATTCGAGTACGAAATTCTAGATTCAAGCAGGAGATCGGTTCGAATCGCAGGCTTGGCTCTGAAATTGTCTTAGTGTAAGTCTAATAATAGCGCTATTTCGAATAGTATGCAAATCAAAATAGTAAAAATAATAATTAACTGAATTTACACTAGAGTCAAAAAAAATTGATATTGTATAGCATTCCCGATACGACTTGTCTCGAGGTCTCGCGGCGACTAAACATTGTTGTGGCTATAGTAAAACCTTACAAATGGTAGACTCTGCTGCTCAAATAATCTACAATCGGGTAACTGAGTTTTGATTACGCATAGTTTTTTCTTTTTTTTTCTTTTTTTGCCTTGACATCTTGTCCTAAGCCTTGACATAGTTCATATGCCCGCTTTGCCGTTGCGCGCGCACACAAAAAACTGCTCACATTGCATTCTTTTACAGATGCAGCGCGCAAATTTTTGCTCATAATTAAAAGCTAACAAAAGGCAAAAGTTGCCGCTGCTCTAACTAGTGTGTAGAGGGGGCAGCAGGGGGTAGAGAGGACGGTGAGGGGCTGGGGTTGGTTTTGTACTTACCCGCTGCTAAAGCGCTGACAACATTTGCAGTGACATGCGGTGATGTTGCTGCTGTTGTAAGAGTTGTTGTTGCTGTTGCTGTTGGGGATGTTGCTGCTGCTGCGGCTGTTGCTGCTGCTGTTGACCCAGCATGCCTCGGACTCGACGCCGACAATAATAATTTGGAGCCAGCAGGAGCATTTGTTGAGTTTGGCAAAATTTCAGCTACTTGGCTAGCATCAGTCGACTGGCTGCTGCTGCTGTTGCTGTTGCTGTTGCTACAACTATTGTCAAATATTTGATGCACAGGCGGCAGCACATCTTCATAATGCAAACTATCCGGCGTAATGTGCGTGGCCAGCGCTGCAGTTGTTGGCTCAGCGGAAGCTGTAAAGTTATGCTCATCATCAACGTCAGATTCAAGCGCTGACAATGTCAGTTGTTGTTGCTGTTGTGTTTCATGTTGCTGCTGTGCTGGTTGTTGTTGCTGCTGTTGCTGCTGCTGTGTTGCTGTCGCCTGCTGTGCGGCTGCGTTGCGCTTGCGATTGTAGTACTCATAGTTTGCTGCTGTTGTTGCTGTTGTTGCTGTTGTCTCATCATCATCATCTGCAGCAGCAGCAGCAGCAGCAGTTGCCGCCGCCGCCGCCGCCGCAGCAACAGCAACAGAATTTTCGCTGTCATCAGTTGTCGTTGTCGCCGTTGCTGCTGCTGCATCCGTGGTCGTGGCTATGATTTTATCCTCGACCATAAATTGCACTTTTTTGCGTGTGCTCGACGCCGATGTGGGCGTGTGCGTGCCCGTGGGCGTTGGTATATAGAACTGTGACTTGCCCGAGGGCGTCAGTAGAGGCGCCGTTGCAGGCGTTGTGGCAGCATTGTCAGATGTCAGCCCAAGCGGAGGCGCAGGCACGGGCACAGTCAGCTCCAGCGTAGACGGACGTTTCAGTATGGACTTGATGCCGGGCGTGCTTGTAGGCGTGGCAGTGAGCACGTGGCTGGACGGCAAATCATCAGGCGCAGCCACAGGAGTTGTTGCTGTGCTGGAAGCTGCTGCCTCCAGCGTTAGATTTGGCAACTCTTCCGACTTCTTGTTGCGCGGCGGACGCCTTGGATTGTTAGCTGTTGCGGCTGTTCCTGTTGCCGGTGGCGACGGCGACTCGGCGGCAATCAGTAGACGCTCGGCAGGCGAATCGCTTGGCTTTTCGCCCAGGCTAATGCGCTGACCCGCAATCGCAGCCACATTGTTGCTGTAGAACTTGCGCTGTTCCCGTTCCCGCTGCTGTTCCCGCTGCAACTGCTGCTCATCCTCGTTTAGCTGGGCATCGGCCACATCAAAGTCATCGTTGTTGGGCAAGTTTTTGGTCTTGGCTTGGCTTTCGACTGAGATCAGTTCGTAGGGATTGACATTGCAGCGCAAGATGGAGCGACGCGTGCTGCCCACCAGTCCGCTGCACTGCAACAGCGCCTCATTGTCCTCCATTAGCCAGCAGTCGGCGGGATCTGGCGCCGGCGGTGGCAGCGGCGCACGCGTTCTGGTGCGTCCGCGCTGCATGCCTCCGACTGCGGCGGCCTTGGGCGTGGCAGTTGCATTGGCAGTCGCTGTGGCAGCTGCGTCGCGGCTACGTGACTTGGCGTCCTTTGAGCTGGCGGGCGGTGGCTCGGCGCTGGGCTCCGGCGACAGCAGACGTGTGCGTCGCATCAGGTCATAGGGATCCTTTTGCGGATCCAGAATCGTGGGACGTGAGCGCTTCGTGGCGCTCACCACGCGCATTGTTGCCGCCATGGGTCGCCGGCCGGAGGCGGCAGCAGCAGCTGCCAGTTGTGGCAGCCGCACCGTGCCGCCCCCGCTGATGGTGGCCAGGGGCAGGCGGGAACCTTTGCACTTCTTACACACGCTCGCCTTCTTCACATCACGTTTCGTCCCGTTCAGATACTCCGGGCACGAACAGATCACAATTGCCAACGCCCCGCCGCCGCCCCCTGGCTCCCCATCGCTGGCGAAGATGGCCGCCGCATGCGGATGCCCATAACCGGCGTAGGCGGCAGCGGGGCGTGCGGGTATACCACGCACCGTGCCATAGATCCAGGGCTCGGCATACTTCATGGAGCGCGACAAAGCGCTGGGCACAAACTCATAGCCGGGCGGCGGTGCGGCAGGCGGTGGATAGCCCAGATGCTGCAGATGACGAGGCGGATGCGAATGCTGGGGATGATATTGGAGCTGCTGCTGCTGCTGCTGGAGATGTTGTTGTTGCTGCTGCTGCTGCTGCTGCATGTGCAACAGCTGCAGGGTCTGCATGCCGCCGACCGTGGCTAGAGAAGCGTTTTTGCTATCGCTGCTAATTTTGAGCCGTTGACTCCAGGTTTTCTTTGATTTGTCATACATCGGCGTGCGGTGCTGCAAAGGGAGAGGGCGGGAGAGTGGGCATTAAATGGTTTAACTTTCGGTTTACTCAAAGTTCACCTTTCACTAGTTGTTGCTGTTGCTGCTGCTGTTGCTGTTGCGCTCATAATCCCCAATTTGAATTAATGGCTTTGATGTAGCTTGGACGCGTCGGCTGCCTGGTTATCAACTGTTGCCTGCAAAGGAATATGACAGAAAATGATTAAAGCGCAACGTCCAGCGGGAAATCCGTTTAGAAAAGTTTATTATTGAAAAAGTTGAAAATGCGATTATATGTGCACCAGACGAAGGCGGTGCCCAGAGCAGGGGGCTGCCTCCTGTCTCTGCTCTCGTCTCGGTCCGCTGGGCAGCAGCTGCATTAATATTTTGAGTAATTTAATGAGACGACCAGCCAGGCTGTGCTTAGTCTGTTGACAAATGTTGAAAGGCATCTTTTACAGGGTATATTGTAGGTCAAAAGAAGAAGATACATCTATATACAGAGAGTGAGTAGAGTTAAAAATGTAACCTTTAGGATTCGTATATGGACATGGTTCAAAATTTCCCACCTCCCATAGCTCGGTGAAAACTTAACCAGTTTTTGACGACAATTGGCTTTTTTTCTAAAAGCTTCTGAGCTGTCAAATTTCCTTCTTGAAATGACGCTTAAATTATTGAGCTTTGAGCTTATTAGCTTTAGAGGCACCATGAATACAGAGTAGCCCACACTTTGGAAATATATTTTTTTTTATACACCAAAAGTGCCCGACTAGCAGTTATCCCATAGACAACAAATTCATTTCACAGCACATTCATCAATATTTGCATGTATCTGGAATTTGTATATGTCTTTCTAGTATATCAGAAATATGCTAACATTTCTCTAGAAGAGTTGTTACTTTGATTATTGTCATGAGCAGGATATGTACCAGTCGAACGTTCCTGAATAACTGCTGTATCACGAATTTGTATTTATCATTTGTATATATCAGGAATATGCAACCTCTTGCTCACATTGCTCTTGAAGTCATATATATTCTCTTTTTGGCATGAGCAGGATATCTGCAAGTCGGGCTCTTTTGACTTAGTACTGTATCACGAATTTGCATTTATCATTTGTATATATCAGGAATATACAACTTCGTGCTCTCATTTCTCTTGAAGAGTTACATGTTTTCTTTTAGTCATGAGCAGGGTATTTTCAAGCGAGCTACTTTAACTATAGCACTCATGACTTGTTGCTCACTTATATTAATTGCCTGCTTGTTGCTGCCGCTGTTGCTGCAGCTGCTGAGCGTATTGTATCCAATCAAGGTGAAAACTCAATTTGGCCCCTAAGTAGACAAGAAGTGCCCCACAAATCGCAAGTAATTTTTTACAATTTTCACACAAGCTGCAAAGAAAATATTCGAAATCAAATAAAGCAGTCAGCAGCATATAAAACCGCACTCATCTCAGGCCACTCGGTTGGCCACTGTACGAGGGTCGAATCGCTGTGCGAGACGAGCGGGAAAATGGTGGAAACTGTCGCGTGGGGCGGAAAAATGTAAGTTATTGTTGTTGTTGTTGTTGTTGTTCGTTTCAACTTTGTTTTCATTTTTGGCGAGTGAATTTTTGGTCGTCATCGTGACCACTTTTCACAATCAAGCGACTGCCCACAAAATCTTTGCAAGCGGCTTACAGTTCACTCGCGCCCGCGCCAAGTTGTTCTCCCAGTTGTTCTTGTTGTTCTCCTAGTTGTTGTACTTTTTCGCTTAGTTGTTGTTGTTTAGCAGCTCAGCAACGCTTCCTGCGTGCCGCTCCACGCTTGCGGATATTAATCAAAATGCGCCAAACGCAACCGCACAAAGGCCTCCTCTGCGTCCCGGTCTTCCGTCTTCACCTCCATCTCCAGCTCCTGTCTCCGACTCCGTCTTCATCTCCGGCAGCTGACTTGGACTTGGCACACCGGACACGGCAGCTATAGCAGCCATGTGCCCTGGCCAGACGCTGGCATACTTTGGCTTAGTTACCGCTGCAATTGTTGCTGTTGTTGCTGTTGTTCTTTTTCTTGAGGTGCTGCTGCTGGGCGAAACATGTCGCCGCGCGGCGCTGAAAAATGTTGATAAATGTTGACAATTTTTCCGGCAACCACTCGTGATAAATCTAATTTTTCTCTTGCTCGCCTGCCATTGCGTTCTTATAGTTGGCACCCACGGCATTGTTGCCACTCGCCACTCGCCAGTTGCCAGTTGTTGTTTATTGTTGTTGTTGTTGCTGTGACTGTTGCTCTGTTGCAGTTTTGATTACATGGCTGCTCCTTGTTGTTGCCAAGTTGTCGTTGTTGTTGTTGTTGCTTTTGTGTAGGTGTGAAGTAAAATTAAAAACGTGTCATTTTTTGCTTTATCGCGTGACGCCCATTTGGGCAAAATGTTGCCATGACCCAACGCCGTCGGCGGCCCAAACACAGCAGCAACAACAACAAATTGTAAACAGTTTATTTGCCTTAGCCGAAGATCAGCCACTCTTACAGCAAATTTGGCTACAGAAATGTATATGTATATTCTCTTTTCTTGAAGGTCTGAACTCTTACTCCTTCGACACTTTTAGAATGAATGATACTTTTTGAAATGAGCCTACTTTGCTTAGCCGCAGATAAAACACCTTTCCAACCCATTTAGATACAGACATTTTAACATATATTCAGAAAAATATTGTAAGAACGGATTTGTTTAAATATACCTAAAGAAACCATAAGAGTTCAGAAGTTCGATTTGTAACGGGTTGCCAAATATTCCAGGAGAATGCTAAAGCTCGCAATGTCTAAATCTTAGTCTCATATCTTACATCTTTATGCTTATACAAAAATCATATAAAAAGGCAGCTTATAGCTAAAGTTATTATAGGGTATATAGTGCTATATAGCTAGTGATCCGATCTGTTACTGCCTACAACAAAATTAATAGAAAACATTAAACAAGCGGACAAGCAGCTGGTTAAAGCTATATGAACCTAGCTTCTTCACCTGATCAGGCATTTGTTCATGATTATACATAGGAGTTGTCTG